TAAGTCCATAAATGTTGCAAGAGCATTTGTTAATCCAAAAGGCATTACCACAAATTCATAGTGTTCGTACCGAGTCTGAATGCCATCTTGGAAATATACTCCTTTTCAATCTTTAACTGATGGCACCCCGACCTCATATCTATCTTAGAGAACACTGTTACACCTTTTAATTTATCAAATAAGTCACCAATCCTTGGAAGAGGATACTTGTTCTTTATTGTTACCTTATTTAGTTGATGAAAGTCAATACATAAGTGCATAGACCCGTCCTTCTTTTTCACAAATAGCACAGGTGCTCCTCAAGGTGAAACACTGGGTCTGATAAATCCTTTATCAAGTAGCTCTTGCAACTGTGCTTTTAATTCTCTTAACTCCGTTAGAGCCATTCGATACGGAGCCATAAAAACAGGTTCAGTACCCGGGTAAACCTCAATTCTAAATTTGACTTCCCGATCTGGAGGTAAACCCGGTAACTCCTCTGGAAACACTTTTGGAAACTCTTTAACTGTTGGGATATCATGCAATCTCACTTCCGGCACTCAAGTGTCTATCACATTAGCTAGAAAAGCTATGCATCATTTTGACATCATTTTCTTTGATGTCATGGTTGATATCACATTGGAGGGTGATTTCACTTTTTCGCCAATCACTACTATTTTGGAGCCTTCCGCGTCATTCAAAAACAATCGCTTAATGCGATAATCCGCCCATACATGATGTGGAGACAACCAATTCATTCCCAAAATGATTTCAAACTCTTCAAAAGGCAACTCCATCAAGTTTACCAATAACACGACCCCTTGAATCTTAATTGGACATTTCCTACATACCCGTGTTACCCTCGCACTATAACCCATAGGTTTTACTGCTACCATTTCACTAAAAATTGGTTCTAAAGGAATTCCTCTAGTTCTAACTAACTTTGTTCTAATATAAGAGCACGTAGAACCGGGTCAACTAGAACAAAAATAGGACCATAAAAAAAGGTGAAATGTACCTGTTATGATATCCGGATCATCCCGATCCTCAGTGGTCTTTATATTATAAATTTGGGCCACTCCCCAAGTCTCTTGTCTTTGGCTAGCCTCAGATTGACCGCCTGATCTTCCTCTTCCTCTGTTTCTACTAGGTGATGCTACTAATTTCTTAAATTGTACTGATCTATCCTCAGATCTCTGTGAACAGTTTCGAGCATAATGACTCGTTCCTCCACAAATAAAGCAAGCACCAGAGAGCACTCTACATACACCCCGGTGAAATTTGCTACATGTCTGACATGGGTTACCTCTTTCTCCAAAAGCTCTACCCGAGCTAGCAGCAAAAGAATGAGACTGCTTAGTTTTCTGTGTAGCTGCAACAGAATCAACCCTATCAATATATCAAGAACCTGAGCCCTTGCCTCTCTTAGGATGATGTGTAGATGAAGTCATCACAATCTTTTTTCCTGTCTACACACTTTGCTCTACTGCCAAAGTCTCCTCTTGAGCTCTTTCAATAACCTTAGCTCTGTTTATAACTTCTTGTAGGCTAGGTAAATTTAAGGCCAACATCATCTCTTTCAACTTAGGTCTCAAACCCTCAATAAACCAATCTCATCAAGCTTTATCATTAGGAACTACCTCGGTAGCATAACGACTGAGCTTATTGTATTCGGTCTCATATTCATGCACCGCTCGATCTCCTTGTTTCAAGCTAAGAAACTTCAACAAAAATGATCTTATAAACTACTCCCCGATATACTTGTTCTTGAACTCATCTTGGAAGAATTGTCAGTTCACTTGTTCAGGCGACGCATACATCGTCGTATTTGTTCACCACACCTGAGCTGACCCTCGGAGTAATGATACAGATCCACCCAATTTTTCATGATCGGAGCATTTTAGACTTTCCAACATCATCATAACATCGTTTAGCCATAAATTCGCGTCCATTGGACCTTCAACTTCTTCTCCCCTGAACTCAGGAGCTCCCAAACTTTTTAACTCCTTAGGAATTAACATTCGCGGTGCTGGAGGAGCAGGGGGAATGGGAGGCAGAGGAGGTTGAAACCTTGTCAAGATAGCATCGAGAGCTTGTATAAAAGCTTCGAACTCTGGAACAAGCATATTTTGAGGTATCGGTGCGCTGACGTTCTCAGACAGAATCAGATATTCACTATTTTCTTTGTAACTTTCACTACCCGATCCATCTCTACTCTCTCGTCCAACCGTTCTTCTCAAATTTGTAGAATCCAACATCTAGTATAACATTCATAAAGATAGTAATTACGTTAGTAAGGTGAGACATCTATCATATTTATTCTATTCCCTATCAGTAACCTTGACATTTTAGTGGCATGTAAACTCTTTTTACATCAAAATACACTCGATTTTGACCGAGAATCAGCTAAACTTGTAGCTCTGATAACAATAAATGTAACATTCATCTCCCATATACCTATCCGTACACGAGATATGGATGTCACATCACTTTTAAAACAATTCTTCTATTGAAAACCGTAATATTTTGTTTCTTTTTATAAAACACTTTAATTAAAACTAATATAAAACATGCATTAAACTTACTTACATAATAAAAAGTATCATTCGAATATTTCATTAATTTACAAAATGGTAACTCAAATATTTTTCAAATCGTTTTTCCTAAATATTTTACATGCCAACTAAATACATCAAAAAGTCAACATATATGTCATATTGTTACTGATGAGACGACCCTTGCTTTGATGTTCGGTGATCTCCTTACTTCGTTTGTATTACGATCTACGCGTGAAATAAACACACGTTAAGTATTTACTTAGTGAGGCAAGAATAATAGTACAATGAACATGTCATTTCCTTATTTCATATTGATCAAGTACCAAATCATGAATTCTAAGTTAATAGCATTTCATTACGATGCACACGTAGTGCCTATACAGTCATTCATAAACTCATAATAAATTCTGTGAGTTGCACACATAGTGCCGAAACGGTTATTCATCAACATATGATGAATTTTGTTAATAGCACACTTAGTGTCGAAACAGTTATTCATCAACATATGATGAATTTCGTGCTTTGCACACTTAGTACCGAAACGGTTATTCATCAACATATGATGAATTCCGTGCTTGTCACACTTAGTGCTGAAACGGTTATTCATCAACATATGATGAATTTTTTACTTTGCACACTTAGTACCGAAACGGTTATTCATCGACATATGATGAATTTCGTACTTTGCACACTTAGTGTCGAAACGGTTATTCATCAACATATGATGAATTTCGTACTTTGCATACTTAGTGTCGAAACAGTTATTCATCAACATATGATGAATTCCGTACTTTGCACACTTAGTGCCGAAACGGTTATTAATCAACATATGATGAATTTCGTGCTTTGCACACTTAGTGCCGAAACGGTTATTCATCAACATATGAATTCCATGAATTGCACACTTAGTACCGAAACGGTTATTCATCAACATATGATGAATTTCGTACTTTGCACACTTAGTGCCTATTTGGTAATCACCACATACATATTAAGTAATCATACATATATGACTAGTATAACATATAGTTACACAATTAAATGCACTCACCTGGCTTTCCTCGCTACTGTATCCAAAATGCAAAGTTGATTACTCAGGTACTTTGCCTTTGCCTTTGCCTTTGCCCTTCGTTTTGCTTGTTTTAGGAGCTTGATTTCGATCTAATTAAGCATCCGTTAAAGATATGTACAATGTCAATTTTTAGTATATTTCCTAACAATTACCGCTACATTAGTATAAACCCTAAACCCTAAACCTTATTTGATCTCTTTGTTTTCAGTTACAGTGGTTTTGGACTTTTCAATAGAGGCAACATTTTAGTTCTTGAACGATGGAAGAAACCATGGCTGCTGATCTATCGTTGGTTTTTGCGTGTTTACTTGGATGTTAATGGTTGAACAAAGCAAGCAGTGACAACTTGCTAGGGTTTGAGGGTTTAAGCAGTGTTCTTGTCTCATTCCTCTTCAGCTCTTCTGCCTAACAAATAATATAACAACATTTTTATAAGTATTCTTAAGATTATATTCTTCATCAAACTAAAATATCTTTAAATCATAAATAAAATCAAAGTTTTCAAATCCAAATATTTTGTCATCTCACACGTAAGACATAATATAACAAAATTATCACTCGTTTATTTTAAAATAATTAAAATTAATCAATTGTTTATTCAAAATCCATCAACTACGATTTAAAAGAATATTATTCATTCAGCGACTGTCTATAAAATATGTATATATTATTAATAATTAAAAAGAATTCTTAATAAATATTATATTATAATCATCTCGATTACTTGGGTAAACTATGTGTTTAGTACATAAACTATTAGTTTTGGTTTGTTTTAGTACATCAACTTTTATTTTTTTTAATCATACCTAACATTTAGTTTTCGTTTCGTTATAGTACCAACCATTAAAAACTTAACAAACAAGCATACATGTCATAGATCCGGCATATAGATGACCAATCCGAATGGCGAATGTGAGGCGTCGACGCCGGAATATACTCGAGGCAACTCATAAACAACTCTCTTCTTGCTACCCTCACTCAGGCTCATCCACACAATCGGATTGACCCCCATGAAGGTCTGGGATGAGGCCTTTTGCGAAGACAAAGCCGCAGGGTCTTCGACGGCTTGCATCATAACTCTCCACAAGGACAACGTGTGTTATTTTTGATCCAATCTCATTGCAGATATTATGTTAATGCAAACCGAAGTCATGAATCTTTGAATTTTGTTTCCCTTTATATGTAGATGTTGCATGCTGTGAACATTGGAGATAGCGGGTTCATGGTGATCGGACAAGCTGCAGCCATATACAGATCCCCAATTCAGCAACACTCTTTCAATTTCCCATATCAGTTGGGAAACTGCGCGAATTGTGGTAAGCCCCCGCAGGCACAGGTGATTAAGGTTGCAGTAGAAGCAGGGGATGTTATCGTAGCCGGAACTGATGGACTGTTTGGTAACTTTTCTGAAAGTCAAATATCGGAGACTGTGGTAACAGGGATCAAACGAGGTTTACATCCGGAGGACGATCTTGGCAAGTGGTGCAACGAGCTTACGACGTTTCCATGGATAGAAAGGTCGTGATTCCGTCTACGCAGGGTTCTGAGATGTCTGGAAAATGGTATATTGGTGGGAAAAGAGATGATATTACAGTCATTGTTTCCTGCATTCTGCATACATAATCAATTGTTAAGATGTTATTCTCATATCTGATTCCGGATTAGTCAACATCTCTCCGGCATGAATTCAGGCTAGAAATATTACCGTCGATAAAAAATCATGTTGATAAAGACGGGGCAACTTCCCGGGGGCTTGGGTTTTTCGGAGTTCTACCTTGTGGAGTTGATAGTCTAACCACTCATAATATTGGAAACGTTTATAAACGTCGGTTGGGCGTTGAGACAAGCTCTCCATTTCCTATTCCCATATTTTAAACAATCCCAGCTTACCGTCCCATCGATGAAAGCTACTTTAGTTTAATCACTGATATCCGACCTATTGATCGATTATTCCAAATCAGATTTTGTATAGGTCCATTATGGGACTGACCATACCATTCCAGTTTGTTCGATTCATAAAAGCCTGGATTCAAACTATTAGGCTGGCAAAATGGTTGAGAATTGCAGCTTTAACCCATTCTATTCATTATTCATTTCCAAGGCTCATATCCCGTGTACTATTATTATTTATGTATAGGACAAGCTGTATGACAGAGAAGAAAAGTGCAGCCTATGAACAAAATGGTTTACATCTCACAGGTCATAGATCTGAATTCAGTCCCTGTAGATACCGTAATAAACTCCCAATATACTATCAATTTCTCTAGTTATTTGAATCTTCACCTTCGTATATCTTCGTGTAATCGTATCTGTACGCCATTGTAGTATGTTACTTGAGGATCTTGTTCAGAAAATATATCCAATAGGGACAGTGCCTGTTATTTTAAAAGCAGCAACTAAGATCAGAGCCAAGAAGGCTAGGTGGGAAATTTTCTAACAACGTTTGTCATCCGAGTGAAACTTTACCTCGGGCACATTGAGTTCAAGGCGGAACTTCGGACCATCATAGTGGTGGAGAATTGGCCTAAACGAGTCCTCCTCAAGTGGCTCACAGGTTTTCCTTGTGAGAACCCGAACCTGCAGAGGAACAATGTTGGTGTTTACTTTTAAGTCTTCCATTTTTGTTCTTGTTGTCGAGGAAGATGAACAAATCAAATAATGCCTAGACAAATACCTGGGCAGGAAATCGAGACTCGCCGGGGCATTACTTGTCCTCCCAAGCTGTTGGATCAATGTTTGCTCCTCCAAAGCTTGCAGCCTAAATAGATTAAAACATTGTTAGAAGCGCAATCAAGAACTATCCATAGTTAGGAAAAATGAGGAGCCACACTTGAGTCCAAATTGCACCGCAAGATCATACTCATTAGTGTGCTTTCAACAAAAACAAGTCATGATTTCAACAAATCTCGGCCTAAGAACCTATAGGGATATAAATAACAATCCGCTAGTGGAATAACGGATAGCAGTGCCATCCAAAACCATTGTTGCATGACCACAATACCTATAATGACAGCGGTAGCACCCGCTGTATCCACAATCACGATAAATATCAAGACATAAAAGAGTGGATTATATGGACAACGTCATGGGAATAAAGCTAATTGTGTTCATTATGAGACAAACCCAAAATACTTCGGTTCGGTATCGTAGTATGGTGTATTTAGATTTGTGTTATATTATAGTACAAAACACGACCGCAATTACAATTTAAATCCCTAACTAACTATTCAAAGTAGAATCAATCCCATAAATTGATAGAAAATTATAAGAACAAACCTCAAATATTCCATGGAGTTGGTGGGTGGACTAGTTGTAAAGGAAAAGAGGCAGGCCCGGTGTTATCGCCCGGACTGAATCTCGGTAGCGTGGAGGCAAGCCTACAAATAATACATAGTAACAATTTAGAGACTGAATCGGGGATTTAAATTGCCGTTGTGGTCAGCATTTTCAGTTGAATTCATCGCATTTGCGGATAACAGTTTCGGACCGCAATTTAAATCCCTGAACTGAATACAACATTAAACAAATTCATTTACTTCCCATTTCTAGAGCAAGCAGTAATAGTTAGGCTAATCTCATCCAAAAAATCAAGAGTTGAGAAATCAGAATTGGAAACATAATCAAAAACCCAGAGAGAAAGAGAAGAAAAGACATACCAAAGAGCTGTCTCCTGAGATTCTCCTGCATGGTATCGTTGTTGCAGACAAAGATATACCCACCAACAGTTTCATTCCTCGGCAAAGCCTCCGATAGCGGCAGTGTCTTAAACCTCTTGTCGGCAGTTTCGTCGTTGTTGTTGCTGCTGTTATTGTTCTTATTGTTACTGTTCTTTCCGCTTTTACTCCCATGATCATCCTCTCCTTTATTCTTATTTCCCTTCGGATTAAAGTTGAAATTATTTCTGTTCACAGGCTTCGAATAAACCCTTTTGTTGAACCCCCCCGTTGATCCTAGTGTTCTTCTGAGACCCCATCGGATCGAACCCCATGTTGTTATTGATGCTGCCGACTCCAATTTTCCAGCCATCGTCGTTGAAAGAATTGAAATCAGATGGCTTCGGCTTCAAATTGTGGACTGAGTCAACTTCACCGAGTCTGATATCGAAATTCCTCCTCTCGTCCGGCCTTTTAGAGACATGGGCGTTGCTCCATATGGAATCGTTTAGAGAAAGATTAGCCAAGTTCGTATTTTGGATCCTGAGTTGATCACTGAACTGCCAAAAAGATTGCTGGTTGTTCTCCATCTTCAGCTTCAATTCCCTCTTGAGAAAAAAATCCCAAGAAATTGAGAGAAAAGTATAAGAGTTGTATATATAGATCGAAAGGGAAGACGAAGTTGATGAGAAAAGCAAAAATAGGTGAAGAGTGTGTTAAATAAGAAATGAGAAATGGGTTGGAAAGCGACCGAATCGGGGAGTGGAGACTTTACTCTTACCGAGGAGATTAAAGATTGCGTGTCATAGTGGAAAGTTACAAGGCTGCTATAAAGATAAAAAAATAGGACGGACATCGGTCGAATTTTGTCAATTTGATTTGATTCAAAAATTTTATATCTTTCACTTGATTTGATTTAAAATATATATACCCTCCACTTAAATCGAATTTGATTTGAATTTTTGAGATAAAATCAGAATTTGATCCTATCTTACCTGAAATAATAAAAAAATATTATTTTTATTCAATAAAAATAATAATTTAATTAAAAAATAATATATAAAGAGATATTATTATAATTATTTCTAAATATATAAGGTAAAATTATATATTTTCATATCGGATATTTTTCACCTTAAACCTAAATCCGACCCGACCCGAACATCACCTTAAAAAATCTAACCCGACCCGTTCTGAACCCAACATTTAAAAAAAAAAGCAATCCAATCAAATCAAAACTTATCAAGTTTGGATTTCATACTCATCTCTAATCATAAAAGTAAAACAAGTATTTGATTTTTTTTAAATTAGGTTAGGCGAAAAAAATAATTGGTCCAATAAGTCATTTACTAGTTTATTTTACAATGTAAGACATTTATTACAGTGGAATACAAACGTATTTAATATATTTTATAAGATTCATCACGTCAACATAATAAGTTTTATGTGTAGTATTTTTTTAAAAGATTGAGTAAAAAAAAATTTATTAATTGACGTGATGATTTACCATGGAATTTAATTTAAAAAATTTACTATTGGGCAACGGGCAACTTTAAAATTTTAAAAAATTAACCATTAAAACTCGACACGTCAACATAACAAGTTTCGTCGAATTTAAATTAAAAAAATTAAAAATTATTTAATACATATAAAATAATTTTATTACAAAATAATAATAAAAGTTCTTACAAAATAATACAATGCATAATAAAATTTATTTATATTTACGTAAATTTTTACGGTGCCAAGGAGTGATCGAATGATAATGGCACAGGGCCCGTCGATTACGTCGTGGTCATCCACATTGATCGTCTTCGTCTTCATTTGTTTATTGAACATGAGATGTATTGAACATCACTCCACTTCGAAATCTACCTTCAAAATATGGTGGAGTACTTAAGGTATTCGATGGCATCATTGACGTTATTGACTCAATCTGGCTACCAAAATCAGTACCTTGTTGACCATATATAATATGATCACATTCACCCTGACCAATATGTTCTGTCGAAGAGGTTTAAGTGCTTTGCATTACATCCCATAAACCTCCAACCCAATTCGGTTAACTCTCCATTGAAGCATGACATGGAGGATAAAAACTATAAATGGTCTGAGATGCAAAATACTTGACAGAAGCAGAAGACGAAGATGTTGATGATGATGCTTTCTTGCCCTTTGCGAACTTTGCTTTCATTTCTTCCCATTTTCCCCTCTCTTTCGGTGTTGTTAAAAATGGTTTCCCATTTGCTTTATAATTTTAGAGGTAGGGAGAAATGTCGAAATCAATATCAGCAGCTGTAATTTCGAAACGCATAGGGATAGATAAATGCCTCTTATTCAATTGTTGGATGCATATAGATGTTTCCTTGCCAATTCTCTTTATGCTTCCCACACGTATCAATTTTATGAAGTGCATCCATATCAAATATTTGCGTAGAAATGCGTTGATGAGATGAAAATTGTCACAACACTCTATTTGTAATGTGTATCTCAACAATCGAAAACTGTAGCAAAGATGCAACGACACTCCACAAGTCTGATGCTTTAAAAAACCCCTGTGTAACCGATGGATCTCGTCATCACAATACGAAATCCAAGAAAATTGTAACACATTAATTATAAAAGTTAGTATAAATAAAAAATTAAGTAATTTACTAAACTAATATTTACAGCAAGTCGATCGGCTATATCGATCCTCATTCGTATATCATATTTATTTGCACCTAACAATTTGATCTTGTTAATTTTATGTC